ACATGAAAAGATTCCAAATAAGGTACATAAAAAGCATCTGTTTTTACAAAACACCATTTTATAGTGAAATGTGTGCAGTTCTATCCAGTCATAGCCAAATGTATGGTAATTTTTGTTCGCATTTACACACTGAGATAGTGCCAAAAATATATTTGTATTGCAAGATGAACAGTAGTGGAGGCCCAATTCCTCTGTTGAAATATTCTGTCAATACTGTGGCAGTAGTGCATATTTGATAAGATCAGAGGTTCAAACTGTTCTTAAGTACAACAGAGTGTGTGGGCTGATCCCTGTAATAGCTAAATGCAGCATTCCTAGGCTCTAATTTGTGCTGCTAATTAACACACATTTGGTGGGCTTCCACACAGGTTGCAGGCAGGAGCAGAGTGCTAGAACAGCAACTCTGGGAGAGACTCTCCTTCCTTTTGTCTTTCCAGCTGTGCCTGGGGCAAGCTGTCCCTTGTGCCGCACGAGCTGGCTGCCCACAGTGACACTGCTGGGCTGAGGAAGAGCCCTGTGAAGGAAACGGGTTGGATGAGAAGACCTCTGTGCTGAAGTGCAAACCTTCCTCTCCTTCCCAGCTGCCATTGCACATACACCGCTTGATACTTGGCCTCAAAACAACAAGCAAACAAAAATCCTGACCAGCTGAAATGAGGGAATTCTGCTTCAAAGGAGAGGGCAAGAAGTTACTACAGGGCTACCATGAACCCTTCTTGCCAAGCTTTTCCACACAGCATAGGCAGATTATATGGAAAGAACTAGGTGGGACAGGCCTTGCATATGAGAAATGCCTAGATGTGCCTTTTGTTGCTCTTTCAGAAGGAGGGGAAAAAAAGAGAGAGAAAGAAACTAAAGTGTACATTGTTGGAAACAAACTTGACAGCAGAGCTCTGGGGCACAGTTTCCATTCAATGAAGATGGTCACAGGGGGGAATACGGTGTTCTATTACTCCATTCAGAACCACACATCTTTTAATCAAAGCAAAACTACCACAAACACCTGTACTGCCCTGCTATTTGGCTGTGCGATGCTCCAGCAAACAAATGACCATTCTATATAATAAAATATTGAACGTGGTAGATCACACCAAAAGTCTGCCTGACTCAATAGTCTAACTTCAAAGGTAGCCAGGAACAGTTTAGAAAAGATTATAAAAGAGAGCAAATGAAATGGGGTTATTACTTTGGTATGCCTTCCTACGTTTCTGTGAATATAATAGAAAGATTTCTTTTGTCACATGTGATGTCTGGGTTATACTGTTTTATGAAGTGAAGCTCTCAATGGATTCATCACCATGAAATTTATCTAATTCCTCTCCTAATCCATGTATGCTTCTGATTGCTACAAATAGCAATGAGCTTCAAAGCTTAATTTAGACTTTGCATGAGGCATACTTCCTCTGGGCTTTTTTAAAATTTAATGTGAAGTGTTTTCACTGACAGGACCCTCATTTCAATGTTACCAGAAACAGGGATTAATTATTTCCTACTCACTTTCTCCATAGGATTCGTCATTTTGTGGAACACTATAATATCTCCCCATGCCAGTAAAATCTTCACTAGGCTAAAGAATACAATTCTATCCAGTCGCTCTCCAGTCACACTCTCATCTTCCGCATCTCTGATGATACTTGACAATGTCTACCCTTGCTTGATAATCTGGATCCCAGAAGCATTCTCAAATCCACAGTGCATCAATAACCTCATCTTTCCCTTTCCCTTGTAGACTACTTCAGTTCAGTGCAAGATCAAGTTGCCTTCAGATCCCATCCAACAAGGCCATAAGGATCTGAGGAACTTTTTGCCTGTCCTGACACCGGCCATGTAACAGCTATAAAAATGAATGTATAAAGAGTACAGTTACAAAAAGTAACTGAAGGTAGACAGAAACAGAGTGTTGAGCCATATGCACATGTAAACTTTATATTATATAAAGTCTGGGACATACAAAAAGTTTCTGCCTTTTTCCTCCCACTCCCTTCTCAAGAGTACAACCTGTACTGCTCCGAATAGTTAGTGGGCAGTTAGTAAATGTAGTCTTAAAGACTTAGCTACAAAGACTGCTCATGCAGATCCTAGCACTGCTTTACAGAATTTTGAAATGGGAGGATTAGAGCTGCATGTGATATTCATTGTCCAAGAGCGCTGTGGATTTGTGCAATGGTGGTATGGGTGGTATCCTCAGCCCCTTTATGGACACCCTGTTTCCCTTTTTGACTGCTGCTATGCTTTGTGGTGTTATTTTCAGAGTAGTAAAATCCCTTTGTGTATTAGAATTATACTCGTTAGCCATAATACAAATGCATTTCTGCATTCTGAATTTGGCCTATCCTATTATCAACCTTTTGCAGCTCAATAAAAGTCACTATCATTTTAGTTATCTTTAAATATCTGGAGATGTAATTTGTAAATTCAGTCATCTACATATTCTTCCTCTTTCTGATTCACTGTGGGCCACTTGTACTAAAGCAGTAAGATTCCAGCAAGGACTCTGGTGGAATCACACTGACAGTTCTACCATCTATTCCTAATCTCCATTTCCCCTTTATCCACTTACTGATACATAAAATCTTCTCTCTTATCTCATCACAGCTTGATTTCCTTATAACGTTTGATGAGAAAACTTGTCAAAACCTTAACAAGTTTAACAGATGCTATCACTAAATCATTGATACACACTCAGTGACTCCTCAGAAAAGCCCAGCAGATTCATAGGAGACACACCTGACATTTTCTTAGTCCTCCCAGGGTCTATTTAGACTACATTTGTTCTTCTTCATTGTTTTCTAGTCTCCTATTTTTATGCCATTCCTCTGATTTACTCCTACAAAGATGCTGCCTTTGAATGCACTATGAAGACAATTACAAAGCAAGAAGCAAGAGTTACACATAGAACTACATTTTGTTCACAGCTCAGAATTAAAACAAGAATTGCTTCTTACTTCTGGATTTTCTGATTAGACACAAATACTTATGACATCTAAAAATTGAAAAAAAATGATAATTTAAAAGAAATTAAAAATATAATTACCATATTCTATATTAGCTAACAACATACATGCATACTGTGGTAATATAATGTCAGTCATTGTATAAATAATCATATAATTGGGAAATCACTGTTATTAAGACTAGTTACTAAGTTGAAAGTAAACTGTAGGTTAAACTAAGAACAGTTCAGATAGATAGCTGAAACTTACTATCAGTAATATTTGAAGGAAATGATGTATAAAACCCTCAAAAATCATGACAGAACTGAAATGAATAAACATTTATCTGGGCTATTCAAAGGGAACACAGATCTTTAAACTACTTTGGCACCTCAGCTCTCTAAACTGCTCTGGGAGCTGACAAAATGCCAAGTCGGAAAAGGAATACTCTGTGTGGTTATAAACAGGTGCATTAAGTGAAGAAAAAGCAGAAAGTCCTTTTGAGTACCAGAAAAAAAAACTCTTAATATGTGCCAAAGGGCTGTATGGCATTGTATTAACAACATTCATCTATGTTTAAGATATCTGTATCTTAAACAGAATATGTATTATTTTTTATTGATAAAGTATTTGGCAGATACTTTGGCTGACAGATTAGCGCTCTTTCCCAAGTCATTCAGAAACTCTAACAAAGCTGAGAATGAATCAAAGATCTCTTTACTCTCAAATTCTTATAGTAACTACCAGACTTTAGTTCTCTTGGGCAGTACCAGACTTGAAGGTTTACAGATTCCTTTGAGGTGAAGTAGGTATAAATAAGAAGAAATGAATTTTAAAAGAAAATTGTGAATTTGTCTCATTTCATTTTTGCAAATCCAACCTTAGCCAACTTTTCATGACCTGATTTTCACAGAACTATGCAGTTTCCAAAAAAATATATGCTGTTCAAGTGATCTGAGCTCTGGCATGTAAATGCTATTTCACTGAAATTCAGTAGCCACCCTTTTCCACATTTATACTGAGAGATATTCCTAATGGCTAGTCTGAGACACTTCACAGTAACTCAATCAAAAGAAAATCACTCATACTCCAATCTAATACTCAATTATTTCCTTTCAAAAAACAGTTACAAGTAATTCTCTCTCATCTGTGGGAATGTTTTAGAAATAGATATCTATTAAACTAATTAGCTTGGACAGCTCCTTATCCACTCCATTCCTAAAAGACTTACCTCTACTTATGCCGTCTCCAAGGGAACCACCACACAGGGCACTTCTAGAAGTTCTGCTTCAAAGAGAGAATCCCTGAAGTGAACCATGAGCAAATTAGCAAAATGGCGTCTGCCAGTTCTGTGGCATTGCTTGCGGAAGAATTGCTTCTGGTAACGCTAACTTGGAAATGGACGGTACTGGCCACCTTAAGGGAAATTACATATGAGCTGCTCAACTCTAGAAAATCCATCTTGCAATCCATTGTAGGATACACCTATGGCGCACAGTGGTATAAACGCCTGAAGAAGATACCACTCAGATGCACTCCAACATCCATCCCCTCACAGTGAAAGCATATCATTTAGCCATCTCTCCTCCCAAACTTACATCCATTCCAGTAATCTTGCTTTCCAAGTCTTTTAGGCTTTATTACTAGTACACTCAGAAATTGCACTGGTCTTCCCTGCATCCCTGGTCCTCCAGAAATGATACTACTTCCCTATATTTTCAGTGAGGCAAAGTCAAAACAGCAACCTGAAGTGTTTTGGAGAGTGTTTTACATATACTCCTTGTAAGGTAGCTTAGGAGATTCGTTCCAGAGAGATAGCCTGTAGTCACTAAAAAATAAAGGATCATCAAGAAGAAAATTCTGATTCTAATTTATATCCCCCACATAACCCTCTAGAGAAGCCTATTTCTCTCCACTGACTACAGACGGTTCTGAAGGAGATTAAGCATCATCTAAACTAAGTATGTCAATGTTGCTCAGTATTTGAAGAGGACTGTAAATTATAGCAACAGAATTAAAAGCTAGACAAGTTATACAGTGCGAGTGAAAAATTGACCATAAGCTTACTCTGAAAACTTTCTCCACCCTTGCAATACCCTTCCCAAAGATGGTTCCAAGTTGGTCTCCAATCCCAGCCAGCAAGAAGCCAAACAGTGGAATCCCAAAGATGGCGTACAAGATGCAGAAAACTTTGCCTCCGACAGTGCTTGGGGCAATGTTCCCATATCCTGAGAAGGAAAAAAAGTTGTCAGTCTCAGAATTCATATATCATTTTTTGGAAAAACTAATGGGTTGATCCTATAGCGGTGCCTTTGTTCCACATGTAATTCCTCTTCACAAACTCTCAATCGCATGATATCATTCCCCATGCAAGCTGCCCCATGCGGTTTAGAGTTATTCATTTTTATCCTCAGTTACCCATTTTTTCCATGGAATCATCTTGCTAACTAAAGCTACTATTTGAGTAATTAATCTAGCTTGGCTCATTAGGGCTCAAAAATCACTTAGTGCTGGCCCAATGCCTCCATGTTGCTGCTCTTCTTGGTTCTGCCAGTTGCTTCCTGATGAGAGTGTGATGCACCTGACAAGACTCGTTTTCTGTCGTTAGCTCATAATTTCCTCAGCACCTCATTGCACTGACAAAACCGCACTCACACTACTTGAAATCTCAAGGGCTTCTTCTGGCTTTATTCAATTCCCTTTTGATTTAAAAGTAAAAAAGTCTAACTTTCATATTTGATTATTTTTAGTATTTTTTAGCACATAAGTTTTTAAGCCTTCTCTCTGGACATCTTAACCCATTTACATTTAACTAGTGCTTTCGCTGCTGTAATAAAGGCAAGTACATGCCTACCTTTTTCTTTCTTTTATGGTAGCCCAGGGTTGTTGAAAAGATCACAGATTCCTATCAACACATAAATTACATGACTGTACCTCATGAATTAAAACTATCTTTTCTGGACACAGCATATTTGGACATGTTTGGTTTTCATTCCAAGCCTTATGATTCCATGTAAGGATTGGGAAACACCAGGTATCACCAGAAAAAAGATGTACTCTGAGGAGGTAGATCCTCTAATGACTGGTGTAACATGCCAGAATCCTCTTTCCTCTGGATTTCTACCTCTCTCTCATAGATAAAGTTAAAATAGGCGAGTTTCATATAAATAGACCTATCTGAACTAGAGACAATAGGCTGCACTGAAGAATATAAAGACAAGGATTTGTGATGACTTGAGGAAACTAATGAATTCTGACTAAAGTTGATCTCATAGATTGAATTTGACTATAGATTCAAATCTACCTTGCCTTTCTCTTTCTGCTTCTCCTTTTTGAAGGTTATTTTTAGTTCTTATTTCAGTGATTTTATTTACAATGTAAACTTGAAGACTAGAATAACTATGGTGTTGGTGAACTGCAACACAGGTAAGAATGAGGACTCTTTAAGCTGGGTTCACTTCCAAAGCCAGAGTGTCTTGCTAGCACATGATTGGTGACTGTGAATATATATGTTCACTGTCAGGGAAGTAACACCTTCCCACTAAAGGAGTAGACACAAACAACATTCAGCTGTTATTTAGAATACTCTGTTTTCTTCAGATTTTTCCTGGGATGTTGGATTTTGAGCAGTGCAAAGCAAATGTATAAGTACTGCCTTTTAAAACCACAGAAAAACATTTGTCAGAGAGACTCAGCAACATAGAGGAAGGAAGAAGCCCACATCTAGGAAGAGGAGTAGGTCATACTTTATAGGGAAGCAGTCCTGTTTAACTGCAGACCAGAGACTCTTTGATCTGAAGGTGAGCCAGACACTACGTGTTTGTAATAATGTTATAAAATGTCCAAGAAGAGCCATTTTTAAGTTCAAGAATGCCCTGAAGAGTAAGAAAATTGAGAGTGAATTACAACATGGCACTGTGCTGTCTAGGTAAAGATACATCGTGTGAAACTTTCTCCATCTTAGGTGTTATACTTCCGACAAGTCCCTGATGAGCTGAAGTGGAAACTAGAGTATTCAGTGAGATGGAGATGTAAGAAAGTGTCTGCTTAATCTACAGCAAATCCCCAGGTCCTTGGGGATTAAGGCTCCTTCTAAAGTCTGTGACACTGGCAACAGGGACATCCCTCTGCACAGGATGGTGCAATCACTTTGTCGATACCGTGCACCACCTCCTCCAAGCCACGGTCTGTTTCATGGCTGCATCTGTGAGCCCAGGTTTCTGCTGAAAGTCTGAGAAAATTGAGGTTACATAGGTCAGTGGACTGAGGCAAAAAAGTCTGCTGAATGTCTGTCTACATAAGAAGAGATCTAGCAGATCTTTGGAGGATAAAATAAAATAATTTTCATGCCCAGACACAATACACAATATCTCATTCATGGAAAATATAAAGCAAATATCAGGCTCTTTTCAACAAATTATATAAATAACAGATGTCAATGAATGTGCCTACCTAAACTATGCCAACATACAGAACTAGTGGCATTTATTTTAATGAGCAATTTAAAAGTCTCTCTCTTGGACATTTAATTCAGACATATTTTCCCTCTATCCAGTTCCCAGTTTTATGTTACTATTAAAAGCACATGGTAGTGTAACAGTGTAGAGAGACACTCCGAGGTGTGCACTCTGTACTCTTTTACCATTACTCTGAGCCAGAGGCATCAACTTCGGTGTTTGGGTTCATCATAACAGCAAGTTTATATAACTAAACCAGGATATTTTTATTGCTTTAACTGCATAAAGAATTTGCAGATTTCAGTCCAGATTTTCACACTTTAATGAAGGCTGTGTGCTTTTGGATTATTTGTCTGTACAATCACCGGAGTATGCATCACAGTCATAATGTGGAAAAGCACCTTATTCCATATTTCAGTGCTTTGCTGAAGAAATGTACTGTGCATAATTAAAATATGGCAAATGTCCAGATAGAATTCATGCAGTCGTGGTACCAACAATTAGAAGAATCTTCAAAAGCAATGCAAATAAAAAGCAACAATTTGTCTGCGATTTCCAAATTTTAATATCTGCTGATCCCTTAATAATCAGGAGAGCACTAAAGAAGAGTTTAAATTTACCAAAGAACTATATTATAATTCATAGATTAACCTTATTATCAGTGTTATTGGTTTATCATCTCTTCCCTTCCGATTGATTTCTGAAGTCCCAAATGCCTCAACAATCTTCAAAAGAACAGGTTCACAGAACAGAGGATAAAAATCTTGGCACACCTAAAGCCAACACTTACAGACTGAGAGACTAACTACACCAGACATAATATATAGGTGACACAGATGACAGGGACCTGCATAATGAAATTACCAGAAATGAATTGTTCAGAAAAGTAAATGGAGCATTCCAGTATACCCTCCATCTACTAAGGAGAAATATGACAGTATTTCATGGAAACAAATTCTGAAATAGCAAAGAAATTTTTTTTTGTGGAACTTTTTCAAACAAGGTAGTATTTGCTAAGGATCTTGAAAAAGAATTTGATACTTATGTGAGTATATTTCCAGTTACAAGGAGTAAGATATTAAAAGAAATAATTACATAAAGGTTCAGAGCCAAAATTAACTGATATTCTTCAGAAAAAAATGTTACCTGTCTGCACAAATTAAACTGTAATTTCCAATATCTATACAAGGTTCTTTTAGCTGGCACTGGTTCTTGACCTTTATAGTGAAAATTAAGATGATCTACGTTTACACCAAGGGTTTAAAGATGTAGGTGCTACTAATTTTGCAGTTCAGCACTGTTGTTCTACCCTGTATGAACATTTTCTGATACCTGCCCAGAGGCTTACTGCCAGAGTTATGTCTTTTGAGAATTAAGAGAAATACAGTCCTGCCACTTTATTTCTTTGTGATGCACTTCATGGAAATTTATTTCCTAATCCAGTTCTGTGCATCTCTATATTTTAAAAGATAAACATACCTATTGTTGTGATGACTGTTCCAGCAAAGAAAAAGGCACTTCCAAGGTCCCAGTGACTGCTATTGTTAGAAGAATTTCCTATGGGACTGACTCCAGCATTATCAGCATCAATAGCATGCTGCAAGAAAAAAAAAAGAGATAACAAATCAGTCTTACCTTACCATATGCCTTATAAGTCAAGATAGGACTATGGGAACAGCTCGGATTTAAACTTTTTGGGTCCTGCTCAAAGTACAGTAGAATATTCTGTACATAAGATCTGATAAGTGACTGAAATAGATACTAATGTAGATAATTGAGATAGATGAGATAATAAAGACACAATACGTAGACAATGAGAAAAGATACAAAGCGCTGGGAGACAGAGGACTAATAACACAAAAGAAATCCATAGATATTGTTCTTGTGGCAATATTTGCTAAGGAAAAGAAATCCCAATGGAAAAAGCTGGTGATAGAAGCAGCAAGATGGGTGGTAAAAACAAATACTATTCATGAAGTCAATTGAAACTAGTCAGCCAAGAATTTTGATTGCTGACAATTTGTAACTGATGAAGTTATTTATATTTTGTGCTAAATAGAATTTATTTATTTATATCCCACTTGAAACCAACAAATAGAATAACTATGGAAATATCATGGACAAATTTATGATCAGCCAGGACTTCCTAGTTGCCATCCTGGACGTGATCACTTGTCTACCAATACAGCATGGTTCAAAGACCCACAGCTAGTGTGTGAGCAGATTAAACGCAAAACAGAAGCTGAGGTAGCTCTACTATTTACAGGTCATTGTCCTACTCGCCCAACACCAGATGAAACCAAATCAGCAAGCTGAAAAAATTCTTGGGAGTTTTTAAAAAGGCATCACATTGCATCATGAAGACATACATATTTGCTTTCGCTGCAACTTTCACTGTGCAAAGAAAGGTAGAGCTAATGTCCACAGCCTCCACAGTACAGAACATAAATCTCTTATCAGCACCTGGAGCATTCAGCTGTTTTTTTCCCAGCTGTTATAAGGAGATGCCTTATAACACATATACTCAAGTTATTTGAAGATCTCATGCAATCTACAGACTGCCATAGAGAAATTCAGATCACTCGCTCTTTAACTGTATCTAGAATGACAGTCTTACAGAAAAAAACTCTGCTTCCCAAATGTTTTCAACTGCAACTCATTTCCAAGAGTTGAAGAACTCCAAGAAGTTCTTTATACCCCTTACCCCTCCCAGCTCTTCTGGTACCTGCCACTTGGCTTGGCACTTGGCTCCTGGCTGATGCTCTTTGGCAGAGCAGACAGCCTTCACTGCTCCCTGACACTACTAAAAGGGAAAACCTAGAGAAGTATCAGGGTTTCATGCCTGACATTTTTCTCTTTTCCTATGAAAGTGTATATTATATGAAAATACTATGAATAGTATATGAGTGTTTTTGTTATATATTATATTAATATATGTACATTAGATATTACACTATGTTATTTATTATATGAGAATATTGTCAAAATTATATGAAAAATATGATGACATATATGCTTACAGTGCCTTAAGTTACACACATCACTGCTCTTCACATACCCCTTAAATGGGAATATTGGCTGTTGAACTGCTACTACAAATTAGCCGAGAGCTGGAGCGTTGCATCCTACCTCTACTACTTGGTAATAATTTGGTGAATGTCTGCTGAAAGCAAAGCAGATCACATGTCAGATTCAGATGGTTGCCTACATTCTGATGGGCAGGATCAGAATTCAGCAAAGGCTTGATAAATAATTGCCAACTCCACACTCCTTGTCCCCCCATAAATCAAGACTGAAGTACAAAATGATTGGCCTGCTGAAAGCTATGCAGAAAGTCTAAAAGAAAGGTAGGATTCATCTGGCAATTTTATTCTAAGATTTCTTGGTCTAAGATTTCTTGGCCTGAACAACACAACCTGTCACAAATGCCAGTACCTAAGAAAATGTGGTAGAACACAGGTAGCTCATGGGGATCTGCTGAGAGATTTGAAGATCAGAGGTGAAACCATTATTTTTTTGACAACCAGGACTGGCTACTATGGTACATGCTTTGTGATGTGCATCCAGGAGCCTATTGGGTCAGTCTGAGCTCAGGAATCTCTGGAGTATGCAGTGGACCCTGGGACATATTGCAAGGTAATGTTCTCCTCTGACCTTGCCTGGAAACTAAATGGTAGCATTTCAGAGCAGCAGGAGATATTCAGTGATGGTGTCTTCAGCAGAGGGAGATAAGGCACACATGGGCAGGCAAGTGACACACACAGGGCAGCAGTATGTGGGGTAGAACAGAGTCCTCTGGGTGTTTAAGAGGAAGTAGGTTGTTGTTTTCCCGTACAGATCATCAATAGCAGCAATAACTCCTGTTAGGCTTATGCTGTCAAATACAGATTATATCCTCCTATCTGAGGGCAGTGTAGTTTGGATCAATTCATTCTCATCTTTCCACTAATAAATAAATAAGTGTTGCAGTGTGGCATCTTGACCACCTATAACTTTACTGATTGCAATAGCAGTGGTGCTAGGCTCCAGCCCCACCACAGTTCCACCCTTGCTTGGCCACAGGCTCCGATGAGCCTGACCTATGGGCAGCCATCCGTCCTGGCCTTGGCCCAGTTCTGTCACCATGGCCCTGCCCGGCCGTCACAAACTGACCACAATTACCCTGACTAGACCTGACCCTGTCTGGTGTTCTTAACTTGGCCCTGGACCTGTCTCACCACTACAGACTTGTCTGATGATCTGGACGCTGCACCCCCCACCCTGCCCTGCTCCCTTAGTGGGGGTGGAGGGACAGACTCTGGCCAGCAAGGCCTCTGCTCTACTGGCCATCATATGGTCCTCAGCTTCAGGAGCAGCCAGCCCTCACTTTACCCTCATAACCACTATCTGATCCCCCCTTGCATGTTAGGTACCTTGATCACTAATTAAGACAATTAACTCAAGAAAAGACTCTAGAATATGCCCACAGGCAACAAGATAGCTGGGAGCTAATGCAGCTGATGGGGATACAGGAATCAAGCCGACTTCTTCTGCATTTCTTGGGAAGCAAAGCTTTTATCTGATTTACTTATTCATGTTTCTTTAATTTCTCCAGTAGCACCCAAGCATAAAGAAAAATGTTTTCCAAGAACACTTGGGTATTCACTATTCTAAGGATCTGTTCCTCTGTAACCAAGCATAGGAATTCAGTTAGAACAGAACAGAAAATTCTTATCATCCCTTTTTTGACTTTCATTAATTCCCCTCCACAGATCACACTAATCCAATAATGATTATCTCCTTCCATAATTCCAAATATATTCCTATCAAGCACACAGAAGGTTGCTACAATTGTCTTTCATGCTCAGATGTTTCTCTACAATGATTATTCAGATACTCTTATTAGGAAGATGCTTTTAAAGACTAATTCCTAAAAAGCATTTTTTTTTCTGTATGCACCACCTCTCCCCTTATTCTCACTACTCTCATTCACTGATTAAAGTATTCTCATTATAAACTCCCATTTATTCCCTCTTATGCATCAAAATTGTCAACAACTTTTGTTCATGAATAACCAGAAGTAATGAGCTTTGAGAGTCCATCCCTTAAATATTTTTGCCTATCCCACAGGAGCATTCTAGGAACAATCAGCCAGATGATTATCATCTACATTTATCAAAAGTGAGTTGATGTCCTCCATGTACTGGTATAGAATAGTGCCACAAACCTACAACATTCAACAAGGGGCATGCAGAGCTATCTAATGTGAGAGGGCTTAACCTGTTGAAACATCTCAGCTATGTTCTGGATGCAATGTAGCTGCAGAACAGCAGCAGAGTCCTACTGCGTTCAGTGTGACTGTAGTATCTCTTGGTTAAAGCGACCAGCTAGGGTATCTGCACCAACTTAGACCTGACTCAAGAGATTTGAATTCTTTTTCATATAGTCCTTAGGATGATAAGCTGAGTTGCTCTCAGCTGCGCTCACACAAAAATAAAGAAAGATCAGGGCAGAGGGAAACTTGGGATATAGAGGAAAATACCCATCAGATGCACAGGAAGATCCATTAATCAGATATTTACCATTGCTTTTCTTCACAGCACAAATAGTCTTTTCCTATCTTCACCAACAGGCAAGTCTTCCCCACAGTTATCTCAAAAGACTTTTTTTTTTCTGCTCCATTTAGAGCTCTATTCTAGCACATGAAAGTCATGCAAGTTCTCTTCAATCTATAATGGAACACCTTGAAAAGACAAGCTCACTTATAACGCTAATGAACCTGACAAAAAGCTAAAAACTGAAATATCTTTACAGGATGTTCCCTTGTTTGCTTATCCTTTCTGGAAAAATAGTTCAGAACAGTAATCGGATATGCATGTCCAACATAAGAACTCTTATTGACAAAATTAGCCAGTAACGTCTGACTAGATTATTTCCAACTCTACTTCTTTTTCAGTTTACAGGCTCATTAGAATTGCTGTAGTCATTAGTGGCCATTGATAATATGACTTAGTTCCCAGGTGTGAGATTTTCTGACTATAATCAATCACAATAAGTGAAACCTTGAAGAAAAGAGAGAGAAGAAAGCACCTAACTTCTTACAATAGTAAACCATTCTATTTTATACCAAAATTTAGGGCTTTTTACAACATCTGTTTTTTTTTATTCTGCACAATGAACAGGCTAAGTGAAAACAGAGTATCAACTCTTTCTTATCAGGTCCATAAGAGCAACCCTGCTAAAACACACTGATGGTCTTCCTCCCTGTCTCTCCTAATGACGGATAACATCTGATCTTTCAAAAACAGATATAGCCTCTTCACATTATGGTCTAAATGTACTTTCTTATGAAGCCAAGGTGACTTCTTGTTTACTCCAGCTACTAATAAGCTATGCCTAACATATGGTAACAAAGAGAGTTTTATAATATATTTATAATATTTAGATAGCTGTTAGGCTGTTTATAATCTATCAATGTCATTTTACTCAACCATATGTCCAGTCACTTGAAACTTCCTACCCTCTGTTATTTTTTCAAATGGTTACAATAGCGATAAATTGAGTTGAAGCAACAGAAGTTTCATTCTCTTAGCATATTCCAGATTTCATTTCTGTCTGACACTGAAATTTCAGCTTCAAAAGTGCTAAGATAAAGCAACCAGTTTTGTTATTTTCTTATTCTGGTATTCATCATTATGCCAATTAGTAGATCACATAAGGGAATAAATAATAACATTTTGTTTCACTGCAATAGATGAAGAAGAAGAAAAAGAACAGTTAAGAACTACTTCAGGAGACTTGAGAAAATGTAGCCTGCACCATGAAACATTTGATATTATTAAGGAAAGAAAAAATCTGTCATGGTGTTAACATTAGACAGATCTAAACCAAAGCACAAGAGAAAAACAAAAACTTAAATTCGGATTTGCATCTTCCTATGGATTTACACTGCTCTCATCACTATACTTTTTCTGAAATCTATGAATGAAACCCACACTCTGGACTCAGCACTATCACCAGGGCAATTCACATCTGTGCCACCAGTGCAAGTATTTTCAATGGGTTATTGGAGATCAATTTGGAAAGCATGTCTCATCCACACCAAAATTTTCTCAGCTATACGGTTATTGCTATAAAGCTTTCTTACAAGTTTCGTAAAGCAGAACCCTTTGAAAGACTGAAATTTTAGCAAAGGGAGAAAAGTGTCCATCGTTAACCTTGTAAATCATAGGATATTCTTTTCCTCTCTCCTCCTTAAAAATTCTCCTTCCAGAACCACACCTACAATACAGGATTCCTACCAGTTCTCAGGTCTCTCCTTTTGTATTTTCTCCATGCTGTGCATTCTCCAAAGCACAGTGCTGAGTCATCACAGTCCTTCTGGAAAGGATGAACTTTATGGCAGTCAGGTGATATGGATAAATATCTCCTTTAGGGGCAGCCGTGTGATAAATATACACAGCAACCAGGACCCACGGAGATCGCTGTGGAAGCTGAAATTACAGTTGTAAAGGCAGGTGCAGCATTTGGTGCAATGCAGCAACCCATTGTGCCAGCTAGAGTTATCACTTTTGAGATCATCAACAAGAAGGCAGGAAAGCATAACACTACACCCCGAGACATTATCCTCAGACACTGGCTCACTGGTTGTGGTACAGTTTGCTGTACCAGTACACCTGACCTCCTCTCTGCATCCAGACATTGACTCCCAGACATTCTGAAAAACCCAAAGGATATCGTTCTTTATTGATTAATCTTCCAATATTTCACATCACTTGGCCTTAGGACATTCACATGCTAAGCTGCTACACACATTTAATTTACCTTTTCAAAATGATTTCCAGTTACCCAGTGTAATGCCTGAGGACATAGTGAACTCCCAAGAGACGATACAATTTGTTCAGAAAATCTGCCTTCCAGTGACACAGCATGCCTGTTTATTATTTTGTGTCACCACTTCTGAGGTGAAAGAAGGACAAGATGTCATGCACAATAACGAGTTAAAACAGGCACATAGCTTAGGCTAGAGAATATGAGCTATTAAGAAATCTTTGTACTGTGGTCTCTGTGCAGACGTCTTACTATGCTGCTGAGGTGCTTTGCTTGTTGTATCTATTATGTATTCTGTTTTCTGCTAAAAAGAAAGTATTTTGCATATCTTTTAATAGTGACATTCACATCAGGGGAATACAACTTCTTGCTTTTGTTTTTTTTAAAAAAAACCTGTAATCAGCCAGCATACATCATACCTAAAGTGTCAAGGGAAATTATAATCTCTGCAACATTTTCACAAGAAATGGATCTGAGCCAATTCTTCCTGACTGGAAGAATTTACACTGAAAACCAACCATGTTCACCTATCTTTTGAAGATGTGACTATGATCCAAGCCAGCTCTGATCCAAAAGCTGCACAGTCACATCAGCATGGTACTGCTTCATGCTGAAGCAGGTTTGGCCCTTTAGCTCAAGTAACGGGCTGCACAAACGAGGACAGCCAGCTTCCAAATCAGAATTGTCTTCAGTGCACATAGAGCACAAGCAGGGTAAGCCCACACCTATCTGTGAAGAAACAGGAATAATTTGTTTTGCTTAGGAAAGGCAGGAGAGGATTGCAGTTTGCACATGGGCAAGGGAGAGGAAGCAGTTAAGCAAGCAGAAGCTACACAGAAATTAAATGAGTTTAGGCTGAAAACTAGGAGTATGTTTTTATTGTCACATCAGTGGGATACTGGGGCGGTTTCCTAATGGAAAGACTAAATTATAACACCTTTTAAAATGGAGTCTGATCCACCAGGAAGAGGCTTATAGAGGTGAGTGGATACAATCCACCGCATAGATCTGTGATCCTCAAAACAGCCTAAAATCACAATGGATCTCTGACCAGACATACCAATAACCCAAGATATTAACACATGGTGCTCTTGAAAGGCTCATACACAAATTCAGATTTAAAACAGGAAGCTGAAGTTTAACTTTGGTGTTGGACACTGTTGCAATATATCCTTAGGTATCTCATATTTCTTAACTAATCTCCATTTTCTCCATGTTAGCTGGTGGGATTCTAGGTGGGTTTTTAGATGGGATCTTAGAAGATACTTTGCTAAGTATGAGTGAGGTATGTAGATGAGGTGTATAATATTTTCCTTGTCTAGAGACCTAATAAATGAAAGATAACTCTGCCTTTGACTAACTTATCTTGCATGCTATTACATTCTCTACTTGTCCCTATGTATCTTATTTTTATATTTCCTTCAAAATTTACTCTAAGTCTTTGAAAATCAGTAGACCAGAGTAATAATTTAAGGTTATTTCCTGCTTCTAAATGTATGCCTTCTGCATGGTTCATTTACCTAAAATTATTAATAATAAACCTGTAAATTAATGTACCAGTAATTTCAGAATTCTTGGTCAAATATTTATTTCAGAATTCCCATCTATCATGTACTCTTGGCTCACCTGGTGCTGGGATTAATCCTGAAGGAAAAGATAGGCAAGCCTTTGGTAAATTTGTCACCTGCCATGAAATTCCTTTCCAGATATCAAGTTCTGATTTTCTTTGCATACATTTTTCATCATTGTATTGAAGATATTTAGCATCTATTTAGAATATTTGAGAACACAAAATATTCTATTTCCAGGCCACTAAAATAACTAAGAAAGAGCCTGTTATTCACATTGCCTATTACCATTTTTTCTTCCTTTGCACTAAGCAGTCTAGGGCAAGACCCTGTGAACAAGACCCATGTTTCCAACCAATTCAGCTGATCAATGAACTGACAAGTTGTTTCTCCTGACTCCCAAGAAATAGTCTTCTACACATGGCTTACCTGAATGAGCGTCTCCAGTTCTAGCTGGGTTACACAAACGTGTTCCCGAAGGAAGTCAGCCTTCTCTAATGCTATCGTGTTCTTCTGCCTGCTTTCAAAAGGCTGTTCCAGGGCACGGAAGACAAGTCCTCCAGTCACCAGGTAAACCACAACCACAACGAAAATGGCCACTACTGTTTTCCATTTCATGACTGTCTGCAGGCCCTGAGAAGGGGCTTCCATGCTGGCGACAACAGTTGCTCGGGAGGAAACGGAGAGTCGTGGAGCCGGGTAATGCCCGTTGGTTTTGGGCTTGGGTTCGCAAGCTGGCACTGGTGAGGGAACAGCAACTGAAACGCAAAATAACAATTCATGTTCAGAAACTGTACGAGTAATAATTTGATTTTCACATACAACTTGTCTAAACACCATTTTCAAGATAGTTGAATAAACTTTGTTATTCACATGCAATAGAATTTCATCTGGAGTGTTCAAAGTATATTTTACACATTCCTAAAAAGTTACTTCAAGGAGTTATTTCATCCATTACTTCTAAACTTGGATAGGTCAATTGCATAAGTAAAAATTTCAGAAAGATTTGGAAATCAATTTCTCCAATATGAACATGAAGATGTGAGAAAGCAGAACATAAATTCTACAAGGTGACATTTTCGGAGAACCCTGACAGAGATACATATCTTTAAACTGTAATACTAATAGTACTTGTATTGGGAATTTAAACTGTTGATGATCAGTGATTATAACTTGGCCCAGAAAACGTCTTTTTCCATATCAAAATTCTCATTTTGGCTCACCGCAGTAAGCAGGCCCATATAACTCACAGGTATCTACAAAGACATCTCTTCTGAAAATATTCTTAAAGCCTGGAAGCTAATTCAATTACTGTCTCAAAATCATACATCCCCACTCTCTGTTGCCACTGTTAGCCCTGGCAGGGTGAGAGGAGGTTCCTCGGCCTTCGCAATGGTACCAAATGCAGTCTTCAAGGAAGCTCAATTCATTTTAAATGATCTCTCTGCTCTACTCCTACCATGGTATACCTGCCACTGGCCTACAAATTCTTTGAAACTGGATTTGAGTATTTCATTTTAGACTTAGATAGCTTACTGTTAAAATACAGTCAATTTATCTACATTCCCTGAACTTATTCCCAAAGTGTCTTTTCTATTTTGCTCAGGAACTGGAGCAGAAGGGTTTTAAACCTCTGAGGAGAGCAGCATCATAAATCCATTATACGTGATTTAAGCAT